TCAAGATTCTATTTTGTAAATATCAGAAAAAAAATTGCTTCATTCATTGGAGATTCAGCAAAGAAGAAAGCTATCGAGGATAAAAATTTTACTCTATTAATACAAAAGATATTGGAAATATTTGAAGTTTGTGTTATAATTAGAAACATTAAATTGATCGATTGGGGAGAGCAGAAGTTAAAAAATCATTCTATTGAATTTGTGTTATTGTTAGAATCCATGTTGTACTTATTTCCATCACACTAATCAAGGCTATTAGAATTTCCTCTCACAATGCATTAAGACTGGTGGTAAGATTTCCTAACAAGGTTAAAATTGGTTAAATCTTACCAATTAAGTGCTGTGGTGGAGACTAATGTTGATATAGGATGGAATTTTATTTGTGTGAAAATGTAGTTAAATTCTTCACCATATTGGGAAGTGACAGATTGAGTCCTGCATGCATGTAATTTTGAGGAACTTAAAATCAATAAAAGTCTCCATTATCCCAACAGCCCAGATTATTACTGGGAAATTGACACAGTGCTTTGGGATCTGCGCTTTCTGTCAAAACAGACAATAGTTATAAAGGGTTAAACATCGAGACAAAATCAATAGACTGTATGTTTATACAATGTACATAAGCCACTATGTGTCGGTGAGAGGCATTTACTGCAGTGTATTTTTTTATCATCACAAAATGGGGCATCGTAACCAGAGCCCTAAATTAAATAGGGGCTCACTTTGCCAGCAAGTTTCACTGGGAGGGACAGAACCTACCCAGTTGTAACTTGTACTTCCATTGACCCTGTTCATATGGCTTTCATAAACTATGCTAATATTAACTCTCGGATGGCCCGTACACTGTATACTGGCAGCAACAGATTACATTGTTAACAGTAGATAGCTCTGAGTGTGATCCGCATATGTAGCTATACAGATGGTGAAATGAATTAGAGAATCCAAGCATTTCACATCACAACAAGTCGGCTGGTACTGGATACAAATAGCTCTGATCATTGGAATGTTGTTTAACATTACTTACTGAACATCTAGAATTAGCCATGCCAGAATTCTTACAGACTCACTTATTGAATCAGAAAGGAGAAAATGTAATAAAAATTTGGTTTTAAGTTTTAAGGTTGTTTTTTTTTCAACTTGCTATATATGCAAAGAAGTTCGACCACCCATGGCTTGGCCCAGATTTGAGGAGCCTCGTCTAGACAAGGAGTGCTCATTGGCACAGGGTCACACCAACAGAGCAGATTAATTTAGGCCAATTATGATAAATGTTTGGTTTATTGTTTCTATTTTGTCTTGGCAAAACAACAGTTACAGAGCTTGTTGTGGACCTTTAGGGCTTGACAGTCCTTAGGAAGCTAACCAAATATATGACTGACAACTCATCGTCTCAGAATTAAGGCACGAGAGCCTGGTTATCTTTTCCTTATTTTTTTTCCCGTTCGTTTTCTGTGAATTTGTTTTCTCTGTCAATACCTTATGAATAACGATATCCTAGAATTTCTATTCATGAACTGATCATACCTACTTTACATTCACATTTTGTACAGTTCACATGTACTCTTGTCACTTCACATGCATCTAATGAAGTTCATTGATCTCTTTTGATTTGAAATTTTTTGAATATCAAAATGAAATTTGACAATTAAATATTTCTACTGATAATAGATACATTCTGTCTGAGCAGGCCATGAAAGACTATTTCAATTTTATGCATTATAAAGTTATGTAACATTGTGTGTTAAATATCTGCTTGCCAAGTCATTAAGTAAGAAATGAACTAACTCTGTAAGTGAGAACTCTTTGTGTGTCTATGATCACAAAAACCGGTTAATCATCCATTATATACCTAATGGCCAGGTTCAATATATCATTTATTTACTTATTAATGGAACATACCTGTGTGTTCATTATATTAGCAGGACTATTAAAAAGTCTTCGTATCATGTTGTATCTCTGTGATTACCTGTCCTTTTACCTGTAATATGGTAACTAAAAGGTTACCTGTCCTATTGTAACATGATTATACCTGTCTGATTGTAACATGGTTGTTACCTGTCTGATTGTAACATGGTTGTTACCTGTCTGATTGTAACATGGTTGTTACCTGTCTGATTGTAACATCATAGTTACCTGTCTGATTGTAACATGGTTGTTAAATGTCTGATTGTAACATGGTTGTTACCTGTCTGATTGTAACATCATAGTTACCTGTTACCTGTCTGATTGTAACATCATAGTTACCTGTCTGATTGTAACATGGTTGTTACCTGTCTGATTGTAGCACCTGTCTGATTGTAACATCATGGTTACCTGTCTGATTGTAACATGATTGTTACCTGTCTGATTGTAACATCATAGTTACCTGTCTGATTGTAACACGGTTGTTACCTGTCTGATTGTAACATGGTTGTACCTGTCTGATTGTAACATGGTTGTTACCTGTCTGATTGTAACATGGTTGTACCTGTCTGATTGTAACATGGTTGTTACCTGTCTGATTGTAACACGGTTGTTACCTGTCTGATTGTAACATGGTTGTACCTGTCTGATTGTAACATGTTTGTTACCTGTCTGATTGTAACATGGTTGTTACCTGTCTGATTGTAACATGATTGTTACCTGTCTGATTGTAACATCATAGTTACCTGTCTGATTGTAACATGGTTGTTACCTGTCTGATTGTAACATGGTTGTTACCTTGAAGATTGTAAAATTGTTGTTAACTGTCAGAATGTAAAACGGTTGTTAACTGTATTATTGTAACATGGTTGTACCTGTCTGATTGTAACATGTTTGTTACCTGTGTTACATGTTTAGTTACCTGTCTGATTGTAACTGTCTGATTGTAACATGTTTGTTACCTGTCTGATTGTAACATGATTGTTACCTGTCTGATTGTAACATGATTGTTACCTGTCTGATTGTAACATGATTGTTACCTGTCTGATTGTAACATGGTTGTTACCTGTCTGATTGTAACATGGTTGTTACCTGTCTGATTGTAACATGGTTGTTACCTGTCTGATTGTAACATCTTAGTTACCTGTCTGATTGTAACATGTTTGTTACCTGTCTGATTGTAACATGATTGTTACCTGTCTGATTGTAATATCATGGTTACCTGTCTGATTGTAACATGGTTGTACCTGTCTGATTGTAACATGGTTGTTACCTGTCTGATTGTAACATGGTTGTTACCTGTCTGATTGTAACATGGTTGTACCTGTCTGATTGTAACATGGTTGTTACCTGTCTGATTGTAACATGGTTGTTACCTGTCTGATTGTAACATGGTTGTTACCTGTCTGATTGTAACATGTTTGTTACCTGTCTGATTGTAACATGATTGTTACCTGTCTGATTGTAACATGATTGTTACCTGTTACCTGTCTGATTGTAACATCTGATTGTAACATGGTTGTTACCTGTCTGATTGTAACACGGTTGTTACCTGTCTGATTGTAACATGGTTGTACCTGTCTGATTGTAACATGTTTGTTACCTGTCTGATTGTAACATCATAGTTACCTGTCTGATTGTAACATGATTGTTACCTGTCTGATTGTAACATGGTTGTTACCTGTCTGATTGTAACATGATTGTTACCTGTCTGATTGTAACATGATTGTTACCTGTCTGATTGTAACACGGTTGTTACCTGTCTGATTGTAACATGGTTGTTACCTGTCTGATTGTAACATGGTTGTTACCTGTCTGATTGTAACATGATTGTTACCTGTCTGATGGTAACATGATTGTTACCTATCTGATTGTAACATGTTTGTTACCTGTCTGATTGTAACATGTTTGTTACCTGTCTGATTGTAACATGTTTGTTACCTGTCTGATTGTAACATGATTGTTACCTGTCTGATTGTAACATGTTTGTTACCTGTCTGATTGTAACATCATGGTTACCTATCCCTTGTATCAATTAAGTTTCTTTTTTAATATGTTGTTGGTTACATTATAAGTGAGCCGTCCTTTTTAGTTTCCTGTTCAGTGCAAGTTACCTGCCTTGTTGTTAATTACCTGTCCTACTGTTAGTTATCTGTCCTACAGTCAATTGCTTGTCCTTTTGTTAGTTACCTGTTTTATCATTTAGTACCTATCCTGTATTAGTTACCTGTCCTATCGTTAGTTACCTGTCCTAAAGTTAGCTACCTATCCGTGCTGTCAATTACCTGTCAAGATCAATACTTTCTCCTTTCTTTAACTTGGTTTTCTCACTCAATCAAAACATTTCAAGTAGATCATTGATTTTCCCCAGGACTCTGTCACCAAACGTTACGGCAGGCTATTGGAGAACCATGATGCTGTTTATACAGCAGATACACACATCCGCACCACATCTTACGCACAACAAATCTATTATTTATTGGTTTTTCTCTGTACATTTGACTCTGTAATGTATCTTTATAATCAACATTATCCACAACAGATACAGAACAGCTGTGAACATACATTTCTATGCTATATTTTATAATACATTTACCAACCAACAATATCTTTTTCTGGAGTATTTGCAGGTCATTAGCTGTAATAAATTGATAGGAATATTATTGGTTGTGGTGGTATTCACTTGAACAAATCAAAATAAAAGAAATCATGCTTCAAATTTGAATGTTTTCCTGGTATTCCAGTTAATTTCAACATGTTTCAAGCATTGAGAAAATATTAAAATCCCTAATGGATTTCTAAGGCAGGAAAACATTTAGACAATAAAGCGCTTATTGATATGCATTTTGTACCTTGATAGTTTTAAATACTACATTTAAGATATTTATCTGGATTTTGCACTTTCAGCAACTGCCTTTTATGTACAAAATTGTTACTTTTATTGATAGTTTTGAAATTGGCATGTGCTTTTTTTTTTGTAAGTGCCATATCTGTCCCTTGATGGTAATGCTATTTTTCCCCTACAGCTATATTAGTGCAGTTTGAATGTCATTTTATGTGATAATGATGATATCTAATTTGATTTTCTCTCATTGCAGCTATGCTATCAGTATGGTGTGAGGAGCTAGGCAGGTTACTACTATTACGACACCAGAAGAACAGGGTGCCCGACTCTAAAGGCAGTGGGATGCATCCCCAGATACAAAAGGCAATGCCACCCGTCCCGTCAGGGTAAGTTACAGGGCAAGGGAGGCAACTCTTACAATATCCAAAATCTACAGGGGTATTTGAGCTAAATTCAGTAAAGTATGAAGAGTATTATTATCAAAATAATAATTTCCTCAAAGATTGGAATCATAGAAATATCTCAAATCAGAAACAACACAAGTTTTGGGAATACATGTATTAGATAATTCTTAGTTATCAGCTGTATATACAGAGGCTAGGATAGCACAAGAAAAACTCAGTATAGATTGATGAAATTCTGAGACAATGTTCCTGAATTGTTTGAAAAACATAGTGACTTTTTAACAAGTAGAAGAATGAGGACTCTTTCAGCTTCAATTTTACCAGGAAGATGAGCATTGCCCTTCCAATAACTCCATTCCAGAGCAACATGTAGTTACACTCAGAGCCAATTCAAGCTGTCACGTTTACTTATCAAGAGTTATGGCTCCATAACCCTCTGCTGGCTCAGATCTGACATGCTTTTTGTGCATGCAGCAGCATGGCTGTGGGCCATACTAGTATGTATAAGTGGGACCCTGGTGCGGACAGGTACATTTTGTACACTACAGGTTATGGGTACTAGTATAAAAAATGTACATACTGCCAGAGTCTATATACCTCCCAGTGTAAGTAGCAAGTTATATACTGTCGGTGTGTATAGAGAGAGGCACTTAATAGATATTTGTACTACGGGTTACCACAAGATGCCTCTACTGTTGGATGTGTATTGGCCATTAGTGATGACGTTTAACACTAAATTAGTCTGGCAATCTGTCCTTAAATGTTTAAAGATTAATACACCTTACTTTCTTAATTTCGTTTTATAATAATTGTTTCGTAAATAACTTTTCTTAACATAAAAGCATCTACCAGTTAGTGTCTTTACAAAAACCTATATATCATCGTGGTTGAAGAAAATGTTATATTTTTAAAACTGAATTAATGACAAACTCAAAGTAGATGTTTCTCAGGAAAAAAAAATTATAAAAATAAACACACTCATCCTTTAAATGGGTATATTAGAAAGAAGTTACACATCTAAGTCATATTAATGGTTGTATTTATGCATTATAGCAGTATAATGAACATGTTGCATGTTAGTACAAGCACTGTACACTTGTACCTCATGGATTGACAAACACCCAGTAACAATGTGGTGGCGGTGAAGACACAGATACAAGCAGATAACATGTGGTACAGATGCCTATCTGTTCCTGCACAGCCTGGCCCAGTCTGCCACTAGTCCCCAGAGCTAATACCAGCCATAGGTCAAGGGTCACACTATTGATTTCTTACACCATTATCTGTGGTAATTATAGATGGCCAAAAGACCTCCATTTGATACAGATTGACAAATTGAATTCTGTACTAATAGGTTTATACATATATAGGAATCATATATACTGAAGAGAACAGTGCCCCAATTTCTAATCAATCACCACTAAACACCTACCAGCGTTGATATTGCAAACATTCCATGGTTATAAAACTTGGTAGTATCTGTCACACTAGTTCCTGGAGACGATTACTGTCCCGATTTTATCACCTGACATTTACATATACCGCCATTGTTTTTATTACAGTATATATTCAAAGAAAACTGCTACATAACAGGAAACTCATTAATAGAATCGGGTTTCACCTTAACATTTTCAAATGACCTTGTCCATATATGTGTAACCTTGGCTGCTCTTCAGCACGATTTAGGAACATGTGATACTCGGTGTTGTTTATTGACATGAAAAGTCTCAGTCAAACTTTGGTACGTACACCCGTTACTGGAGACACAATAACATGTTGCATGTTGAGTGGTTTGTCGGATCAGTTTACAAAGTGAGGATATTAATTAATGTACCACTTCCTTCTATCATAAAATCTTTACTCCACTAATATGTCAACAAGTAAATGGTTATTTATAATTTCTTCTTGATATATTGATACTGATTTTGATGAATAAATCTGAATTTCAAATCTTCTGTATAATTAGAATTAATTAGCGGAGCCTATTGCTTAAAATTCTATACAGATGATTAAAATGGAGAAGAAAAAAAAACGAGATTACTCAAGGTAAACTCTGGTAGACTTGCTTGATTCAGAAAGTCTCATCAGAGTTAATGATTGAGGAGGTCTTTCTGGCTTCAGGCCATATTCTTCATATTGAGGTTTGTACTGTGATTTACATTTTTCACAATTCTTCAGTAACCATCTGTCTCACCTTTAATTATATAAACGGTTGTATATTTATATCTTACCATACAATCTCTGTTACATTATCTCATCTAACTTATGCTTTCACAACCTCCTGTCTCACTTTTCAGTTTACAAATCTCCAATTCCATCCTTTTCTCACCATTTCACTGAAAAGTGGGGCAGTAGGCAGTGATTTCTCCATTTTTTTTTTTTTTTTTGTGTACAAACTCTGGTTTTTTTTTTTTTTTTTAAAAACTAGCTGCCCAAGCTATCTACTTGAGTGAGTTTTGTACACAACAAGCAACACTTGTATATATATTTAATCATGTTTTGTATGAGTTATTGCTCCAGTTCGCTGGCTGAACTGGAGTGTTTACCATTGCACTGCAGGAGTGTTATGTAAGTTTGGGAAGCTGCTAAAAGGGAGGGCAAACTTTGCCAAGAATAGATGTTGCAGATTCCAGCATATAAGATATTAAAGCACATTGTTAGATATCCAGTCAATTTCTGATATATGTGAAGAGAAAGGATTTGGTTTTTTGTTCTTCTTCAACTAACCTTGTTCTTCAGCGCTATAATTGCTACCTTGATCTGTTTTACCAACTTTCATGCCGCTGCAGGAAGATGGATATAAATTATCATAAAATGTTATACATTTGTTGTAATTCAAAGATTGAAAGAAAAGATCACAATTGATCTTGTATAGTAATTGAGGACATGATAGACAGTGTGTTACATCTTAGGTTTCAGCTTTATGGATTTAAAATGAAATATACAATCCATGACTTATCAAGACAAAAGACCATGACATTAGTTGAAAAGGAAAATCACAAGACTTTCTATCTGTTGGTTTCTTAAGTCAGTTCCTTTCCAATGTACAAGATATTGACCAACAATATTTATAGGTGTACATAAATAAGCTGACTGACTGATTATCAAGGCCAAATTCAATATATTTCATATGGTTGTCAAGCACATAATATACATTTGTATTATTCCTAAAGTCATGTTACATCGTAACGTATGCCCTGCCAAAAATGGTGTACTGGATACATTAATGCCTGGTAAAATATGACATCTAAAATGGTTACACTTTCAATAATCATTTGATTCATGAAAAACTTGTTGTAGTTGGAGTAAGCCAAAGCTAAACTTGTCTATGCGTATATATAGAAATAATGTTATGAAAAGAAAATAGTTCTCCTCCTCCACGTAAGATTAAGTTGTTTTGCCAAAGTTTTCTAAATGTGTGGTGCCAACATTCTAATACCTGAACTGTTCAAACTTGTCCATATCATTAAAATTTTCACACAGATCATTTGCTTTAGATAAAATTAAAGATCCAAGATGTTCTTAATGTTCACAATCGATAAACATTAGCATTACATAATCTATTGTTAACAAGTATCATTGGTGGGGCATGCCTATACCCTTCTCAATTTCAAGAGGCAAGGACCCACATCTAAAATTGAAGAATGCTTTTATTTTTTTTTTTTTTTTTTATCATACATTGATAGTATTATACATTTGCTTTAACTACATCAGTTAATCTTTTATTTGAAATTAGACTCATAATAATCACAAGGATTTTTACTGTTACATAACCACCTATAAGTTGACTGCAATAATCTACCATTATCACTATTCTTAATATGTCCAATCTAAAAAAAAAAACTCCATTTCTTGTTAAACTTCATATGAGTTCCATACCAGTCACCTTTTTGACCGAAAGTTATAAACAGTATTCAAATTAACACTCAATCTCTTACATTATCTCTGTACCAACAGCGAGAATGTAGAATTGGACAATAATGTCCTTTAGTGATTATCGGTGTCTCACTAATTATTAGAATACTATTTTGATATGTACCGGTATGGAGAGCTTAGTCAATTCTATGTACATAATAAACTATATGTACATTAACAGCACTCTCGAAACTACCCTCTTTCCTGACTTTATCATATCACTGTTACCCTCAACTCTCAGTGGTTGAAAATAGCTCTAATTCAAATTTCTTTTGCATGGTCCCCTTAATATTGCTGTATTGTGATATCATATTCATACATTTAAAATCATATCAAGGGAATTTAATATTAAAATGGAGAAATGAACACCAATTGATCAGCATTACTCCGCACATTCTAAAATAAGTCATGGATTTCTGATGATCATGTGTCAAGTTGTAAAATGTCTTTATCATGTTTATCAGTCATTAAAACATAAGTTTACCATCAGTATTGAAGCTGTGTTACAATATAAACTTTATGCTCCAAAATTTATCATCAAATTGTATTGAAAACTTTTAGGATAAAATTTACATTCAGTCCTTCTATGATACATTTCAAATCTGTTAAAACATGTTTATCGTAATTATTTGTAATAAGAGGGTAGCTGATTGGTGTCTGTGGCACAAGGGCAAAACGCTTAAATGATACAGTGCATGTAAAATATGCAGAACACTAACTTTGTTTACCATTAAAGAGAAAGTAAACCCTTGCACGTGATGGATTTAAAAGTGTCTCAAAACAATTCTGCTATATCACGTATCTTTAAACGTTGCATAAGGGTGATTTGCAAACAAACTATAAGCATATATTAACTCCTCTCCGCAATATGTTATGGTTGAAAATCATGAAGATAGCTTTTGAAGTTTTCATTCAGATTTGAATTGGGTAGATAAATAGAATTAGATTAAAAAATGGGAAAATAACAAATGTATAACAGTGATTCTTTTGGGGTTCTGGACTCCTGCTTTGTCTATGGGACTCCACCGCATATTGAGACCCAGCTATATCTGTTATCATTGGGACTT